ATGTAGGACTCTGAGCTGTGAAGAGAAACAATGAGTCATTTCAGACAGGAAACCATATCAGATAAAGCTTAAAGGCAAAGAGTGACTCTGGTGATTGAAAGTTGGTCAGTGATGATAAAACTTAGTATTAATATTAAATTGATATTTATTAAGGATTTACCATTAGCATGGGACTAAGCGCTAAGCATCATGAGTAGCATCTTTATTTTTTTCATTCTACAAAGAATAATAACAAAGCTTAAAGTAGTTGAGTAACTTGCCTGTTGTCCCATGAGCTTTAATGGTGGAGGCCATGCTTGAATTGAGGTCTGTCTGATGCCAAAACCCAGGTCCTTGACCACTGAGTGGAACAATATCTGATTTAAATGGCTTGATCTCATGACCCATGAGGTCATGACCTGAGCCAAAACCAAGAGTCTGACACTCAGCCGACTGAGCACCCAGGCACTCTTAAAACGTTCATTTTTGCTCCTCCCCATCCTCTTTCATTCTGTATGTCTATGTGGCTGATGTTGCATGTATTGCTTTATGTGACACAATCTTGCCAACAGTCAAGCAGCTTTGCTGGCCTAGAGAGGATTATTTAATTCTCTACAACACTGAAAATCTTGTTGTTACCTACTTATTGCTGTTGTAGCATATCCACATAGCCAAAGCTGGTAGAGTCAGGCAGTTCATCAATGATGGCAATACATCAAATCTCTTCAGAATCATCAATAAAAGGGATGGTTTCAACTGTGAGATAAAGGAATGCCATTTGAGAGGTAGCAACATTATTTTACCATGGAAAGATGAAAAATGTTCATTTTAGCAACACTATTTTACCATGGAAAGATGGAAAATGCTCATTTTAATTTGTTTAGGGGTCCCACTTCCTGGCCTGGTTATAGAGTCCTTGTCTTTTTAGTACGTCTGGTGACTGGGGGTTGGAAGGGTTGTCATGGAAGTGGAAATCCTTTTTCAGAATCTGAGAGAAAATTTCAGGTGTCTCCCTTAGTCAGCACTGACTCTGTGTCCCTCATTTTGTTGAGAATAGTTCTCCTCAACCCTGTTTCCAGTCTAGCACACTGAGGCGAGGGGCATGCTTCCACTAGTATAAAGGTGTTGTCAGCAGGGGTGAGTGACACCATTCTATTTCGCAGGGGAGCAGAATCTGGGGAGTTTGGATTGGGTGTAGGTTGAAAACCTTTCTCCCGGAGAGTCTGTTACATCCTCCTTCGAGATAATTCCCTTACTCTTCAAGCCAATCATAACTGGTTTAAAACGATGACGCTTGATAAATGTTCAATGAATCTAAGTACTAACTTAGGGTTTCTCACCCTGACTGGGGGCGTTTGAATACTATCTAGTCCTAATCTGTCCATTCTCCAGTGTGGAGTTGTTGGCATCCGCCCAAGGTGTTCCTTGGAGTAGAGGCTGCCCCAAAGCTTTGTGTAGTGGCTGAGAGGATCTTCTTGAAGAGCTGAGCACAGCACGTTGGGGATTACGCCTCAAAGCCTGTCCTGCTTACAGACTCATTTTAAAAGAGGCTGCCCCAACCACAAGCCCTTAAGAAGGGAGCAACACAGCCTGTTTCCTCAGCATCGGTGCTATGTCGTGTCCTTCCATCCTAGTCACAGTTGGAGTAGGAGAGGACACCTGGCTCAGAGGTGGCCAATTGGTGGGCCACCCAGTGGCTTTTGAGATCAGCCTCAAGTAAGAACTCTCCCCAAAAAGGACAGTGGTGATAGAATCAGAGTCTCTCCTCCAGGGCACTTGATTATGAACTGTAGATAGAGAGCTGGCAGCAAGTGGAAAGAGCTATGGTTGTGCAACTTAAATTATGGCTGTGCTCTGAAGACATTTTACGAGATACTGGGGCAGTGGTGTCCTGGCGCTGGCTCTCACAAGCCCGAGGGCTGGTTGTGTGCATCTCTTCCCACGTCCACATCAGGTTGGTGGGAGTATTGACACTGCATCAATTGGTTTTTGTTACAATTGAGGTCTCCCTCCTCCAGATCTGGTTGTTAAAAATGTACTAGCACACGACAGGGTAGGGGAAGGGATGGTATATGGGGAGCAGGGGAAGCAGTTACATCTTCTGAGTCCTTTGTCTTAAAAACAAACAGTATTTAAGGTAATATGTTAACGTGACTGGTATTAAGATTATAATAAAAGAAGACATTAGAGAAAACATTGTGAAATATATGATTTAAATATCAGTGGTTAAATTACAAAGCTCATAGGAATGTGGTCAGAGGGTAGTACTTTTCCTGTTCCTGATACCTATCAAAGGCACAAGCCCCCACCTCCCAGGCCCACAAAGGATGACCTGACAAGCCGGTTAAGTCTCTGGTCTTATTTCCACATCTATTCGTTACCCCTATTACTTGAGGTAACTTGAGTGCACACCGGTTACTTAAAACCACAAGAGCCCAGTGAATACGGTTTTTGAATTCCTTTTTTTTTTTTAATGTAGGGAAGATTAGTACAGTAAAAAGAGTATGTATGATTTTGGAATGAGGTTTGAATTCCAATACTCCTTCACCCCTTCCTGGTAGCATAATTTATTGTGCCTCAGTCTCCTTAACTGTAAAATAAGGATAAAGGAAAATAAGCTCAGGGATATTTGTAGCGATTAAATGAAGTACCATGTGTCGAACATCTAGCACAGTGTCTGGCACTTGTTATGCACTCAAGTAACGTTAGCTCTCTCCCCCCCCTTTTTTTAAAAAAAGATTCTAATTATTTATTCATGAGAGATAAGAGAGAGGGGGGGCAGAGACACAGGCAGAGGGAGAAACAGGCTCCATGCATCTCCTTTCTTTAACATACTTATTGAAGCTTTTAAAACAGCTGGTGGATGGGGTGCCTGGGCAGCTGGTGAGTTGAGCGGCCCACTCTTGGTATCGGGAGTGGTCGTGACCTCGGGATCATGGGATGGCTCTGCACTCAGTGTGGAGTCTGCTTGTCCCTCCCCTTCTTCTCTCCCCCCATCCCAATAAATAGATAGAATCTTAAAAAAAAAAAAAAACAAACAGCTGCTACTTTTGCTCTCAAGTCAGCAGAATCGATACAAGTACTTAACTCTCCACTTGTTTTAATATGAATTAGGTTGTATGATAATGCATTATTTATAATTTTATGTTTTTGTATATAAGATCAACTAGACTATTTTGAATATAATTACAGTCCTTTGAAACAAGCTCTTCTCTACACTTAGCTCAGAGCTCCTATATGTCAGTCCACAAATTACTGTGCTCGTATCCTTTTGTTTTTTAAACAACTAGTTAGAATATGGGCAAAGAACTATGTTAGATATTGTAAGGGAATTAAGAAAAACATGCTGGGGTAACCTGGGTGGCTCAGTCAGTTGAATATCCAACTCTTGGTTTTGGCTTAGGTCATGATCTCAGGGTTGTGGGATAGAACCCTGTGTTGGGCTCCAGGCTCAGCAGAGAGTCAGCCTGAGATTCTCTCTCTCCCTCTGCCCCTCCCCCTGGCTCGTGTGCTCTGTCAAATAAAAATTAATATTTTAAAAAAGAAAAACAGATGCTTACATAATATATAGTTAAATATACACAAAGGAGGAAAGGGAGGGAATATTCAGTTTTTTTCCTGAGTATCTTCCCACTGCCCAACTTCTAGATACCTATATTGAATAATATAAGGTTCAATAGTAATGTGTCTTTTAAATGCCTTACTTATTGTATTACAGTTTATTTGCCCTTAGTTTACTTAGGTCATCTGCCCTTGGCCCCATTATCAACTGCTAGTATATTAAGGGTGAAATCTGCCCATTTGCCAGGAGTAATTTATGGGATGTGGTATTTCTCAGTACCAGATGATTTAAGGGGAGCTACTTGCAAATGGACTGTTTTTTTTTTTTTGGCATATACACCTTAATAACTGGCTAGAATTAAACTTGTCTTGAAGTTTCTGATTTGTAAATACAGCATTTTCAAACAAGTAGTGTGATGTACACATTACCATACTTTAGTTCATATTAGAATAATCCATCCACACTCTCAAACTGTTTGGCATTTACCCCTTAAGAATCTTGCATCCATAAATCATTTCTGTAGCATCTTAAAACGTTCCTAAATAATTATATAACTAACATCTTGCATCTCCAGGGCCTTGTCCCGTTAGTGTGAATTTAAAAAATAATAATAATAAATTATAGTAATTAGGGCATAATTACGTTGTCTTGGAAAGCGGAGGTTTCATTTGGACTTGATGACTGGAGGAGTTTTCAGCGCCAAAGGAAAGGCAGGGGACTAGCGGCTTGGGTCTGTCATCAAACCTCTGGGCCTGACATCTTGGCCATCCCAGTAGCACCTTTTGAATACGTTTCAACACGGCCTTTTAGACAAGCTACAGCAAACGCAGAACTGAAGGGGATGAAAGGAGGTTGGTGGTGGGAAGGACAACGGGTCTCAACAGCAGCGTTTAAGTGTCACGAAAAGTTGGGCGGCCTCCGCCCCAACCAGACGCCGCCCGCCCGGGACGCAGGAGGCGGTTCTGTGTCGGACGGCGGCGGGCGGGGTGCTCATGGCTCACCGAGGGTGCAGACCTGGCGGGCCCGCCGCAGCCCCCCGGCACCCCCGCACCCCCCCCCACCCAAGCATTTTGTGTCTGACGGCGGTGGGCGGCGGGCGGGGTGCTGGATGGCTCGCCCGAGGGTGCAGACCTGGCGGGCCCGCCGCAGCCCCCCGGCACCCCCGCACCCCCCCCCCCCACACGCAAGCATTTGCCGGGGCTCTTCATCCTGCCATTAGCCAAGCCCCCGGGGCCGTGGGGCCGTGGGGCCGCGCCGGGGCCTCCCGGGGTCCCCCGCTGGCTCTGTCCGACCCCTGCGCGGTCCCGCGCCGGCGGTGCAGGGGGGCGGCGGGCGCTCGGCGGCTCCCTCGCGGGCTCCCAGGCTCTTGCTCATATTTGGACGCGGCCGCCCGTGCCCAGGAATTTCCCGTCATGCCTCCCGCCGCCCCGTCCGTCGCCCCGAGCCGCGGAGGGAGGGAGGGGAGGGAGGGGCGGCGGCGGACGGCGGGTCCCTGCCCTTCCATGAGCGCGCGGCGCAGCCCCCGGCGCCCCCTCTCGCCGCTCCTCTGCCTCTGGCTGCTCGCGGCCGCGGCGCGGGGAGGCGCGCAGGCAGGTAAGTCCCGGCGACGAGCGACCGCGACCCGGGCCCCGGCCTCCTGCGGGCCGGGCAGGGGCGCGGCGGGGAGCGCCGGGGGGGGGCGGGCAGGCCGGCTCCGTCCCCGTCCCCCCCGGGGGGGGGGGCGCCCGCTGACACCTTATCCCGTCCCCGGAGCGAACCTGAGCCCGCGGGACGCCCCGGGCGGCGAGCAGCGCGGGGGGGGGGGCAGCGGCCTGGGGGGGGGAGCAGCGCCGGGAGGGGGAGCAGCACCGGGAAGGGGAGCAGCGCCGGGGGGTGGGGAGCAGCGCCGGGGGGAGGGGGGAGCAGCGCCGGGGCCCCGCCGAAGTGCCCGCTCCGGGAACGGGCCGCTCCGCGTGGGAAAGCGCCCGCCAGGCCCGTGCGTCCCGCAGGGTGGGGGTCTCCGGGGCGCGGGGGGCAAGGGCGGGGCGACAGGGGCAGAGGCGGGGTCTCCGGGGCGCAGGGGGCAGAGGCGGGGTCTCCGGGGCGCAGGGGAGCAGGGGTCAGAGGCGGGGTCTCCGGGGCGCAGGGGGCAGAGGCGGGGTCTCGGGGCGCAGGGGAGCAGGGGTCAGAGGCGGGGTCTCTGGGGCGCAGGGGAGCAGGGGCAGGGGCGCGGGGGGGCAGAGGCGGGGTCTCCGGGGCGCAGGGGCGCAGGGGGCAGAGGCGGGGTCTCCGGGGCGCAGGGGAGCAGGGGCGGGGGCGCGGGGGTCAGAGGCGGGGTCTCCGGGGCGCAGGGGCGCAGGGGGCAGAGGCGGGGTCTCCGGGGCGTAGGGGAGCAGGGGCAGGGGCGCAGGGGAGCAGGGGCAGGGGCGCGGGGGGCAGAGGCGGGGTCTCCGGGGCCCAGGGGGGCGGGGGCAGGGGCTTGGGGGGGCAAGGGTGGCGTCTCCCGGGCGCAGGGGCGCGGGGACGGGGGTCTCTGGCGAGCGGCCGGCGGGGTGGGGGCCCGGCTGCCGCCCCCGCGGGCCCCGCTCGTATTTAATAGGCCAAACCCGAGCAGGACCCCGAGTTCGTCAGGTACCAGTTTTGTTTTGCTTTGAAGCGGGGGAAAAAAAGCATCCGAGTCTGTTTTTTTTTTTTTTTTTTTTTTTTTAAGTTTCACACTGGACCATTTAAAGTCAAAACTATGTGAAGGAAAGGTGCCATCGCTGCCTGCCCTGGCTTAGGACTGCGGTAATTCGGAAGTCTTCACAGGATGAGTTTTAAGGATCGTTTTCTTGAGATCATGTGGAAAATATCAGGGAAAAGTTTTTTTTATTTCTCCCATCAGGCAGTTACAAAAAGCAATGATTTGAAGTGACGGAGGTAGAGTTTAAGGCCGATGTGAAATTGCACAGACTTTGATATTCGTGATGAGGCTCTAACTTACTGACCATCCGAGCTTCTCGGTGCTTAATGTTTTCGGGAATGGAAGGTCAAAAATGATCATTCCTCAGTTGAGATAAGGAAACTTAAGTTCGCTTTTCTTTTTGCCACTAGTAGGCTGAACTGTCAACACGGATATGGCTAGCAATTAGGACTGAGAAATTAGCCGCAAACTGACTCTATTAAGCATGGATTAGATTCAGAACTCTCTTCTCTTTCTCTTATTTCATTTGCAGCCTTGGTGGCAAAACAGACTTTTTTGTTTGCTTTCAAAACAGACTTTAAAATATAGTTTGTCTGTAAAAATGTCTTTAGGATTCGTGTGACTTCTAACATTGCCAATTTAGATTAATGGGAAATTTAAAAAATGTTTAGCCTTTTTAAATGTGCAGTTTATAAATATTAAGTAATGATATCTATTTCATGTTTGCTTCTGATTGGGACTGTTTTTCAGAAAGACCTTTTTATGGATTCATGTTTTAGGAGTATCTTTAATAGTACTTCTTGGGAAATACAACAGGTTCTAACTGCACATTTTATTAGTAGTCTTCTAGAAAATACTGTGCTGCACAATAAAGAGTGGATTGTTCTGCCGGGAAATATATGTTTCTTTCTTTCTTTTTTTTTTTTTAATTTCTTCAGTGATGTGTTGACTTACCTAATTCTTGTGGTAAAGCAGCCCTCGAAGACCAAAATCCACTGTGCTGTGGCCCCTTGCCAGCAATTTTGAACACCAAGTGTATATTTGGATCATTTAAACATTCACTTTTTTAATTTTGGTCCCAGCTGACCTATAAGTCTAATTTCTGGTGACTTTTATTAGGGCCCTATGTGAACGTCTGGAATTTTTTTATATTCAAGTCAGTAGCTCTCTGCCGTATAGAATTTTGTCAGAGTGCCTAACCGCCTGTCTGCCAAAGTTGCAAACATACAGCATCATTTAGGTTTTGAATCAAACTTAGGTTTTAAAGGTGCTTGTTCTAAAATTTTAACTAAAATGTTAACCCATTAGGTCAGAAATCTTTACTATTTTGCTAAACTCAAGTAACAAGAATATCCAAAAAAGATCCCAGCAGTAGCTTCATAGATTTTTTTCTCCTACATTTTCTAATACATTTATCCTTTTTAAATTAAGAATAAAATTTCAGCTATTAAAGAGGAACTTCGGGCAATAATACATTTTGGCTCTATTATCTGGTCACAGTTTTTTGATTTTTATCTGACCCGTGTTCCTTACCATAGTTGGGGATTGGTTGATGAATTTGGCTCAGATGTTTAACTTCCTTTTCTGTAAACTGATGAAGTTGAACATAATCTCCATGTCCCTTCTAACTCCAGAATACTGTAATATTGTTTTTGTTTATATGATCCTGCGGAGCTACCCACACTACATTGATTCAAACTTCAGATTGTCAGCTCTGACTTGCTATACATGTTCAACTGGTCTTCTTGTGGTCAGATCTGATTGGTGTGGATCCAGCTTGTGGAACATCTTGATACTTGGCACATGCGCACAGATGCACACACGTTGACAGAGTTCTGTGATATTAAGCTTCTGTTACTTTCTCTTCCCCTGATCTAACAGCAGGAAGTGCTGGTTATGTCATAGGGTAAATGTCCAACTGCTGTTTGGGGACAGTTAAGCCCAGGCCCTAAAATGGTTTGGTATTCAGTTCTGGGATTTGTGTCTTGGTTAGGGATACCACAGTAGAGCACCCAAACCTTTCTGTGGTTGGGAGGCTGTGGCTAGTTATTTGGGGGCATTCCAGATGAAACGCCCTACATTCCTACAAAATGCCCTATTGATCATACTTGGACCTACCCATCTGGTCTATTCAGAATTAAATTGAGTTTGAATAGGAGGGTAATCAGATCTCTGTTTAATTTGCCAGTTGTTAGCATCTGTGGTTGCTGTACAGATAGATATTTCAAGACTTTACTTTGAAAATTCCGATATTTTCTCCTTTGTGGGCACAGTTATTTTCTCTGTTAAAATTCTCAGCATGATCCTGGATCCTTGTTCACATGTTTTCTCCATAGCAGACCAAAGTTGTCTTTATGGCTTTTAAAGAAAAGCAAGGAAAGAATAAAATTGTAGAAAAGGTAGGCCAGCAATAAATCAACCAATTGACTTTATGGAGGATTTGGTTATTGCCTCCTTTAAGCTTCTGTTGTAAGTAACAGAAATGAACTGGAACTAGTTTTAGGAAAACGAAAGAGAGGTATTCGATGGAAGCTAAGTGCAGACAGAGCTTATTAGGGACTAGGGACTAGGGACTGGAAAACCTGGAACTTTCCATCTCTCCTCTTGGCCTTTCTTTGCTTCATTGTCCATTCTTTGCTGACCATTTTTTTCCTGCTTTCCTGTGTTCCTGGTTGAATTTGACTGCTCAGCAGCTCTTGAATATTTTTATGTGTCCCTCGGTTCACAGGGAAAGACTAAATCATTGAGGCTGGAATCTAAATTCCTGAGAGATAGAACTTGTTAGACATAGGTTGGGTCACATTGTTGATATAGATTTTCCCTAAGATTTCTTCTAATTCTGGAGTTCTTTGTAGTACGTGTTGCAGACATTTGTGTGGTTTGATTTTGCATTTTTACATTTTGTACTATGGGGTTATTAGTTCTTAAAAGGTATAATTTTCTTTTGATTGCACTATGTGTGGAAACGAGTGTGCCACCTTCAGTGGGATCCTAGGATGTTAGAGCAGTTCATTCAGACAGAGGCAGGAATGCTGAAGAGAGGAGCCTTGGGGGAGTGAACGGAGGGTAGCACCACATTTAGGAATTACGGCACAGCTTGGCATCCACCTGACTTGTGAAAGATCCTGTTTAATAACAGTTGATCCATCCTGTAGATAATTGTCTGCATATTTTCAGGAATTCACTGAATTAAAATGCTGGGCTCAAATAACTTAAGGGTGAATTCATTAAAACTATTTAAGTGATAACTGCAGACATTCAAAATAGTAGTAGTTGAGGGAGTTCCTTAGTTATTTTCCTGTTTCTCACCCAGGTTTAGTATTTCCCATCTCTCCCTTTCCCTTAGACCACTTTGGCCGCCTGGATTGTTTTCCTCTCCTAGCTTGGCCTTCGGGTCTCCACCTCATGGTCGTTTGCGAAGCTTTCTCCACCTCTTAGAATTTGTCATTTCTTTTGTTTCCAATACATTCTGTACCGTGATTGGAGCATGATTTTACCACCTTGCATGTATTCATCCTCACTGGACTATAAGTTCTATTAGACCAGTGAATCATCTAGAAGAATTCACATAAGCTGTTAGCATCCATCATCCCAGGCATGATGATTCCAGCTTTTTCAGATGTTCTGAAGCTTGTATGGCATCCTGCTTGTCACTGCCTTCTCCTTCAGACATTGAAGCTCAGTCATATTGCTCTTCTTTCTTAGTCCTTGTCTGTTTTCTAGATACTACAGGCTTTTCTATGAAAATTCTAGTTCTGTTGTGATGATCAAATATGTAGATGTTGGGATCTTTTCCTACCAACTGAGATGGATAGGGAAGGAAAGTATAGCAAACTGATATGGAAGGAAATCGACTTGTGTTGAGCCTCCAATATATACCAGATCAGATAGAGGGGGCAGGTATAGGAAAACATTGGCGCATATATGAAGG